ATGACTAGGCTTTGGATTAGGGGAATGGCAAGGGGAAGCACCCGGAATGACTTCCCAGCAAGAAGCCTGGCCTGCTGGCAGCCAGGAGAATGTAACCAGGGTGTGGTTGGGTGAGGAGGGAACTCAGGTTGGAAGCAGATGATGGATGTCCTGACAACAAACACAAGGTTGGTTACAGGAAATTGAGAAGCATTTTAGCTGAAGTGAAACACAACCAAAGTACTTTTTCAGGCCCTGGACAGTGTTGCTCAGTGGTTAGATTCTGTTCCCAGTCAAGGGCACATACTTGGGTGGGAGGTTGGATCCCCAACCCAATCTGGGCAAGTGCAGGAGGCAAACCATCAGTGTGTCTCTCTCACATTGATGTTTCTCCCTCCCTCGCTTCCATTCTCTCTAAAAATCAATGGGGGGTGGGGAGAGCAGTTTTTAGGCAAGGTAGTCTGGCATTGACATCACCAGGGGCAGGCTAGTTAAGAAGCTGTTGCATGAATCCTTGTATGCAGCACCAAGAACCAGGTTAGGGTATCAGCTATGAGAACTGGAAGAAAAAGTGATTTTGAGGGATGCAACAACAGGATTCAGGGGCAGCTCAGTCACTAATAAGAGGGCTTGATCTCGTGAGAACAGAATATCACTGAGACAGCCAGGCAGACTGCATCCAGGTGCTTCTTGTTTGCTCAGATGATGATACTTTGAGACTAAATTGACCCCCAGGACATGCCTTTTTAAAAATTTTTATTTAAGTATAGTTTGTAGACAATTTTGTGTGTGTGTGTGTGTGTGTGTGTGTGTTTAATATGTTTTTATTGATTTTTAGAAAGAGAGGAAGAGAGAGGGAGGGAGGGAGAGAGAGAGAGAGAGAGAGAAACATCAATGATGAGAGAGAAACATAGATCAGCTGCCTCCTGCACCCACTACGAGCCCGAAACTCGGGCATGTGCCCTGACAGGGAATTGAACCAGTAACCTCTTGGTTCATGGGTTGATGCCTAACCACTAAGTACACGAGCCAGGCAGTTGGTATACAACCTTATATTGGTCATATTAGTTTCAGGTGTACAATATAATGATGTGACATTTTTATACCTTACAATGTGACCACCCCACTAATTCTAGTAATCATCTGTCACCATATAAACTATCCCAATATCATTGACTATATTCCCCTATCCCTTTCGAATTTTTATTCAGTCATTTCATTTGCAAGAGAGGAGGAATATACAAACTGGATAATCTTATTTACTCAGGTATCAGATGAGATATGATGAGACCAGAATTGTATAATTTAAGAAGTGATCCCCCAATAGGTCTAGTACCCACCTGGCACCATACATAGTTATTACAAAGGACATGCCCTTTAGAACAAGCAACAAAGATTGGGGAGTGGGGAAGTGACAATAACCGTCAAGCAGGAGTGTCCCCAACATAATATCTGACATCATCCTTCCAGAAGACACCCCAACTATGGGAATATCTGAGGTTGAGACCAAGGGCCTGAGGGGCATGGGAGGTAATGAGAAGAAAGTTTCTTACATCCTCTGTCTACCACAGCTGAAGTACCTTTACTTTTTATGTGGCCACTATAAGCATTTCTCATTCAATTAGCCCAGGGATCTAGATAGACTACAGTTGACCGGGGTCTGTCCCAAATTCCTCTAGCCAGCTCAGGATGTCACCTGCCACATCAGGGCCCCATGACTGTGGGTTTCCCTTGAATAAACTTCTGAAGGCTACTTCACAGCCATCCTCAGACCCTCCACAAACCAGACCAGTGATGGCGAACCTTTTGAGCTCAGTGTGTCAGCATTTTGAAAAACCCTGACTTAACTCTGGTGCCGTGTCACCTATAGAAATTTTTTGATATTTGCAACCATAGTAAAACAAAGACTTATATTTTTGATATTTATTTTATATATTTAAATGCCATTTAACAAAGAAAAATCAACCAAAAAAATGAGTTCGCGTGTCACCTCTGACACGCGTGTCATAGGTTCGCCATCACTGAACTAGACCAACACATTGGTTGGAGGAGGCAAAATGTGGGTTCAGGTGAAATCGTGTTGAGCCAGTTATTAATTGCATTCATATGCTAATAACAGAGATCCAGCCGCAGTATGTCAAACACAGAAGAGTGTGTTCCCTCGTGTAAAAGAGACCCGGAGTCGGCAGTCCAGGGCTGGGATGACAGCGTCATTAGGGACTCGGCTCCTCTGGCCTGAGTTGCCCCATGATCCATGATAGCTCCTACAGTGCCAGCCATCTCGCCTCCTTTCCATGAACAGGGAAGGGCAGAGGTTGGGCCCCAGCTGTCTCCCTTTTAGGGATCGTTTGTGGTAGATTCACCCAACAAATTCCACTCAGAATTTAGGTACCAGGCTACACCTAGCTACAGAGGATGCTGGAAAACATAGTCACTTAGCTATGCCCATTTCCAGTCTGAAAAAAAGTGGAATTCTGTAACTTAAGGGAAATGAAGTAATGGATTGGAAAATACAGTCTCTGCCACATATCCTCCTACAAGGCAGTATTTCTACATACTTGGATATGAACTCTGGCCATTCATGGAATTATCTTAACGACTCTCTCTCCCTCTCTCTCTCTCTCTCTCTCTCTCTCTCTCTCTCTCTCCTTTTCAACCTTTGTATCACAAATCTTACCCAGGTAGAAATCTAAGTGAAAATACCAACTTTCCCTTTGTATAGCTGGGGTTGTTAATAGGACCGACAGTAGTACTTAAATTGCTAAAAATAAAATCAGTGATCCAGCCCGGCTGGTGAGGCTCAGTGGTTGAGCATCGACCTATGAACCAGGAGGTTACGGTTGAATTCCATCAGGGCACATGCCCCGGTTGCAGGCTCTATCCCCAGGGTAGGGCATGCAGGATCAATGATTCTCTTTCATCATTGATGTTTCTCTCTCTCCATCTACCTTCCTCTCTGAAATCAATAAAAATATATATTTTTAAAAATCAGTGATCCAGGCTATAAGAGAAAGTGAAGTAGCCCTAGCCAGTTTGGCTCAGTGGATAGAGCATTGGCCTGCAGGCTGAAAGGTCCTGGATTTGATTCTGGTCAAGGGCAGATGCCCGGGTTGGGGGCTCAATCCCCAGGGGGGGGCGTGCAGGAAGTAGCTGATCAATGATTCTCTCATCATTGATGATTCTATCTCTCTTTCCCTCTCCCTTCCTCACAGATTAAAATAATAACTTTTTTTTAAAAAAAGAGAGTAGTATCATTAACAAAAGGTTCAAAGTGAGCTTCCTGTCCCTCCCCACCTTGCATCGTCAGGCTCATTATAATCAGACTAGAGGCCCAGTGCACAAAATTTGTGCACTCAGAGTCAGGGGGTCCCTCAGCCCAGCCTGTGCCCTCTCACAGTCCGGGAGCCCTCGTGGGATGTCTGACTGATCTGGGAGCGGGTCTAAGCTGGCAGTCAGACATCCTTAGCACTGCTGCGGAGGCAGGAGAGGCTCCTGCCACTGCCACTGTGCTCGCCAGCCATGAGCCCAGCTTCTGGCTGAGCGGCGCTCCCCCTGTGGGAGTGCATTGACCACCAGGGGGCAGCTCCTGCGTTGAGTGTCTGCCCCCTGGTGGTCAGTGCACATCATAGCGACCAGTTGTTCTGCCGTTCGGTCAATTTGCATATTAGCCTTTTATTATATAGGATTGCATCCTCAAAGAACATATTAACTACTGGAAAGGAAAGTACTATGTAAACTGATTTTTTAAAAAGAGTTTGAAAAGGAAAAAGTTATTTTTAATGAAAACTAAGTGGAATGTTCAATAAAGGTGAGCCACTAAAAATAATGGCTGTTCAAATAGACGTGGGCAAAAAAATATATAAGACTGGGAAAATCATTCAACAGCTGAAGGATCAGATTCGTTACAGGTGTCATTAAGTTCCCACTCCACTTCAGAAACTTGAAAATGAAAATCACAGACAATGCATTAGTCATGTGGTGATATGTAGGTCCAATGGTCTCCTGCCTCTTCATCTGAAAAGTATTAAAAGAATATGCATTTGTATGTTTTCAGTTAAAATGCATTGTTTAAGGTAAGCATGTGACATTTTATTCTGACTTCAACTTTGATCACATGGGACAAAAAGCCTTCATCTTTTAGTGCTAAGAACAAATATCTCCAGAGCACACTCTGGAAGCTGTGTTTAAGTGTTTGGTCTGTGCTGCATGCAAAGCTCTGGGCTCTATGAATTCTGAGGTCCCGATCAGTCTGAGACATCTTTCCACCTGGGCAATGGTGCTCATTTGCAGACTGTGGCTACTCCATCTTCTCCCCCACCCCCAGCTCTATTGAGGCATCATTGACAAATACAATTGTAAGACAGTGAGAATAAATGTCAGATCTTTGACACAATGTCTATTTTTGTTAAAAGATGACTTTCCGCCCTGACCAGTTTGGCTCAGTGGATAGAGCGTTGGCCTGCGGACTGAAGGGTCCCAGGTTCAATTCCAGTCAAGGGCATGTACCTTGGTTGCGGGCACATCCCTAGTAGGGAGTGTGCAGGAGGCAGCTGATCGATGTTTCTCTCATCGATGTTTCTAATTCTCTATCCCTCTCCCTTCCTCTCTGTAAAAAGTCAATAAAATATATATATTTTAAAAAAAGATGACTTTCCATTGGCCGACTTTTCTTTTAGGTTTTCCTTTTGACATCCAAAGAAGAGGTTTGGTTTTCTTTTCTTGAGGTTCCCTGGAGCACAACATACTAGTAGTCTTAGTTTTGGGACTGAAGTCTAGGTGAGAAGTTCTCAGTGATGGAGTGGTCTCCAAAACCAGAAGAGAAAGAGTCTGCTTCGAACAAGGGCCAGGCAAGACAACAGTGGTCAAATAAGATGCCCCAACAACGTGCCCCACACAGGCTGCCGCATGAACAGTAACCCCACACCTCCTCCCTCCTGCAGCTCCCTGCCTGGAGGAGTCAGAAACCAGGATTAGTCTGCTAACAGGGGAGGAGCAGAACAAGACCGGAAAGTAGAAGCCGCCAACCAGCTCCCCACTACTTCCTCCCACCAGCTCCCCAGCTCCCCAGCTCCCCCGCTCTTTCTCCCACCACAGCTGCTAGCCTGCTATAGAGCTGAAGAGGGAGAAGCCTCAACTTGAAGAGTCAAAGTTTTATTGCCTAGGACTGGGCATTTAAGATTGAGCCTGTGTTCTGACTTAAAGTGATTATATGACCTACCTAAGAATTTAAAAAAAAAATCAGTGTGGTGAAGGCCTGGAGTGCCGGGGGGAGCGGGGGTGGAGACCATTGGGGACAAAGGGGGTACATTTGTAATACTTTCAACAATAAAGATACATTTTTTTAAAAAAATCAAGGGACCAGCATTTTGGTCCAGGGACAAAGAAAAAACAAATCCACCAGGCCAATATGAAGACATGGTGGGTGATGTAAGGACAGGACAAAGGCCTCTTTTTCTTTGCTGTGGCTTTCCACAATTTATGAGGAGCACCTGGCAATTAAACCCCAAGAGTGTTAGCTCCTCTGATTCAAACAGCCCCTCTGTTCAAACTACAAGACAAGATAGGCTACTCTCAAGCCTACATTCTTGCATTCCCCCTCCTCCCTGCTGTTTTAGGAACTCAGGGATAATTTGCACCAAGGAGTCTCTAGTTAGTAGAAAGTTCCCTTCCCCCTACCCTCCAAACAAGGCTCTTTTGAACTCTTCAAAACTTTTACCCTAAGCATGTTTTACAGGCTTCGGAAAAATACTGATAAGACACCTCCCTAGGACATCTGCCGGACTGTCTGCTGAAAAGCAAACAAACTATATTTTCAAGACAGCCCCTGATTGTCTGCTCAACGTCAGCCCCAAATCCCCCTCCCTGCCTGATCACCTAGCACCAGCAGCCATTACCCTTTAAATGGGGAAGCCACCTTTTGTTTCTTGCCCTGTATTGATTAGCAATGCACCGGCCCTTTCCTCTCTTGGAAAGTAAAAATAAACTTCCTCTCTGCATCTCTTCTTTTACTTGTCAATTCTTTCACAGCCTATGTCACTGGCCAAACCCTAACAGGTGACAAAAGGGAAGTCACGTTATGATCACATCCCATGAGTCACTGTTGCTCAATGTCACTGTTACTCAATGTGCTAGTAACACAACATCAACAAATTGCCTACCAGAAATTCTCCCTTATTTCTGGCACTTGAATGTAACTCCAGTGTTCTAGCAGTAATGTGGGTTTTTTCCCCCCATGAGTCATGTAGGTGGGGATTTTAGAGCTTACACCACCAACTTGCCTAGGAGCACCCACCCCCAAACAAATGTGACCTTTAAGTTTAGAAAGTAGTACACATATTTACAACTTAGATTCTCCCAGTTTATGGCTTCCTTGGTTGTTTCCAAACATCTCTTGAAATTATTTTAGAAGTGTGTTAAGGGTATCAAGCATTACCTGCTCTGGCAGATGATAAACTCCTACCTCTTCGGGATTTATATCCCCATCACAGTCCAGTATGCATGTTCCCTGCCTTTCTCTCCATCAGCTGGAGAATGGGAAAGAGAATGAGAAAGGTGGTTTTAGGCCCAGCCTTGAAATGCCATATATCCCCTCTGGCCACATACCATCATCTGGAACTCAATCACACGGCCACATCTGACTGCAGAGAAGAGGGACCATGTCGCTCATCTCTATGACCAGGAAGAAGAGGAAATGAGCTTGGTGAGTATTTAACAAGTCCAGTCACTAATATACATTAAGGATTCTAGAACTGGTAAATGTTAAGATATAAATTAATATTCACAGGATACCAAGAAGTATGATGACATCATTCTATTAGGTAGGGAGGGAAATTTTTTTCTCTACCCTTCTAGGTTCTTTTGACTGGTCTAATAATTAAGTTGACATAGATTAACTGGAGAAAAGAAAAACAAATTTAATTTTGTATGTACAGGAGCCCCAAAGATATGAGACTCAAGGGCAAGGCAAGCAGTTGAGGCTCATGTGCCATCCTGAGCTCAGGAATGGTAGTAGGAGACTGGGTCTTCAAAGGAGAGGAGGGCAATTTATAGGACAATAAGAAGAGATGTTTGGTAATTAGATGTTTGTCCTGCCACATAGATCAGTTTTATAGATAAAAAGTTATCTCTGGCTCCTCGCGGCCTTAGCGCCCGGCCTGACCCCGGCCATGGGGTGATGCTACAGCAGCAAGAACGAGGACTCGGACCAGGACCGAGAGGAGCAGAAGCTGCTGCTGGCCCCTAGCAGCTCCCCACCAAAGCCCTCAATGGAGCCGAGCCCAATCCCCACAGCCTGCCTTCCGCTCGCACAGATGAGCAGGCCCTGCTCTCCTCCATTCTTGCCAAGACAGCCAGCAACGTCATTGACGTGTCTGCTGCAGACTCCCAGGGCATGGAGCGGCATGAGTACATGGACCGGGCAAGGCAGTACAGCACCCGCTTGGCTGTGCTGAGCAGCAGCCTGACCCATTGGAAGAAGCTGCCGCCACTGCCATCTCTCACCAGTCAGCCCCACCAAGTGCTGGCCAGCGAACCCATCCCCTTCTCCGACCTGCAGCAGGTCTCCAGAATAGCTGCTTCTGCCCACAGTGCACTTTCTCAGATTCGTGTGGATGCGAAAGAGGAGCTGGTTGTACAGTTTGGGATCCCATGAAGACAGTGGTCCTTGGACAGCTCTTCTTCTCCTCTCTTCACCCGCCTCCCCTGGCCCCAGCCTCACTATGGCTTATACAGTACCCTGACCTGCTACTAATCACAGAGAAGAATGTGGAGGAGGAGGAGAAGAGCGAGGCTACAAGCCTGGACAAGTGAGGATGGAGCAAGAAAGGACAGAACCATTTGGGACTGGCCTTCGAAGCCCTGGCCAGGGGTGGGGTGGGGGTCAAAAGGACAGGGCCTGGTAGGTCTTCACTGTCACTGGGAAGGGGTGGAGGTAACACTGTGAGGGTGATCACTAGGGGGCCTATGAAGGCCCCTTTCCCACTCTTTCTCTTGGCCTCACTCTTTGCCCCTCTCCCTGACTTGGTGCTCACAGGCACCTCACTAGGGTTTGTGACCAGTGTCTGGACGAGATTGAATTTGAATGAATTGAGTTTGTATTTCTAAAAACAAGGTTATCTCTGATAATAACTTATCAGAGATAACTTAAAAGTATTAAAAGTACTCATTCTGGGCCTGGCCCCCTACATAAATTCTTTTAGGTAAACAGGGAAAGGTAAACATTTTTCTTGAGTCTGCTGGGTCTTGATTGACTTCAGCTCAAAACAATCTCCATGCCAAAGTGGCACATTTTGGGGTGGCATATTCTGTTCTCCTTCATCCACTTTCTAAAGCATTTAGAAATGCAGTAAGTGCACACTTTAGCTGAATGCCTAATGACCAATTGTTATGACCAATATTTGGTCAAAGACAAATAGCACCATCACAGAAGGAACTTCAGAAATTCAGGAACAAATCTGAAGCTGTATTCAAAATAAAATTATTCTTTTATTTTAAAAAAATTTATTTTAAATATATTTCTTCATTTATTTCAGAGAGGAAGGGAGAGGAGGAGAGAGAGAAACATCAATGATGAGAGAGAATCATTGATCGGCTGCCTCCTGCACACCCCCCCACTGGGGATCGAGCCCACAACCCAGGCATGTGCCCTTGGCCAGAATCGAACCTGGGACCCTTCAGTCCGCAGGCCGACGCTCTATCCACTGAGCCAAGCCGGCTAGGGCATAAAATTATTCTTTTATTAAAATATGTAGAAGTAGTAGTTCGAATTTAAATTACTTTTAAACATATTACAATAATTTCCCAGCACGTCAGCTGTTAGATTATTACTGAGGTCATCGCTGAACCTCATGATGTCACTCCACCTTTTCCAAAAGCCAAGGCTAAAGCCACACACGTAGTGAATTTTGGAAAATACCAAGGTCAAAGCCATAGCATGGTTTATCCTTTAAAAACGTAATACTCATTAACTTTTTAATGCCTTCTAGTAAGAATCCTGTACAGAACAAGCACGTTCATCTGCCGGCATTTATCCTGTATACCTTGATCATTCCTTGTTTTCAATGTCTGAGGCCCTGGAACACTTCCTGGCCCTCACTCGTCCCTTCTTCTAGGGGCTGGCTCCCCTTCTCTGCCCATAGCAGTCCCTTCTCCTGACTGTACAGCCCCCCTCCCTCCCAGTCTTCTAAGAGCCCTCATTGACTTGGCTTTGACCCAGGGCTTGGAAGCACAGCATTTAGATTTTTTGCTCTTGTTCCCTCGCTAGGTGGTGCTCTTTCCCAGAGTTCCATAAAGCACTGCCTGTACATGACTTGGATTCGGGGTACCCCGGTTGTGAGACAATTCTGCTCTGGTGTCACCCCAATTCACCACATCCCAGATCACTGGTTCTTCGACGAGAACCTGTGCTGGCGTGGATGGATGGGGGTGTTGTCCAGAGAGTGGACAGTTAAACATGAAGGTCTTTATATTTTACAAAGCCCAACAACTGGCAGCCCCTGGGTTACTTTGGAAGCTCAACCATGTCATCCGGGACCTAGGGATGTCCACCCTCCACTCTGCCTTCTCAGCAGGCTGGCTTCTGTTCTCCCACTGGGTGCTCATGGTCATGACGGTTTCTACTGATGCAAGTATCACAGCCTCTCCCACCTGCTAAGAGACAAGGAGGAAGGGAGGGCGGACAAAGCACTTTGCCTCCTGCACATCTCTTAGTGGAGAAGACAATCTTCCTCAGAAACCCGGATTTCCTCTGGGCCGGCCAGAACTGGTCAACTGGCCAAGTCTGTCTGGAAGAAGACTGGACGTCAGTATTTGGTAAAGAAGACCAAGGTACCCACAACTGACCGGGGTTCTCACCAGGTGTCCTGTCCTTCGAGAGGTGTTGGAAATACAGGAGCGGTTTCAGTTGTCACACAAATAGAGGTGCTGTTGATATTTCGTGGGTTGGCCCAGGGTCCTAAAATGCACAGAACACATTTGTACACAGAAAAAGATTCATCCTAGGGCCAGTGGTTCTCAGCCTTCTGGCCCTTTAAATACAGTTCCTCATGTTGTGACCCAACCATAAAATTATTTCCGTTGCTACTTCATAACTGTAATGTTGCTACTGTTATGAATCGTCATGTAAATATCTGATATGCAGGATGGTCTTAGGTGACCCCTGTGAAAGGGTCATTCGACCACCAAAGGGATAGCGACCCACAGGTTGAGAACCGCTGTCCTAGGCGGTACCCCGTCTAAGGAACACGTGGGGGAGAAACGGTACACCATCTGAGTTGCGTCCCAGGCATTGGCGGGGGGGCCGGATTTGGCGAATGAAAGGCTTCAGCTGTTTAATGGGAAATACGTGGATTATTTCATATGTATATTGTATTTGACAGCCATGGGGTTTTGTTTATTTGTTTAATATATTTTATTGATTTTTTACAGAGAGGAAGGGAGAGGGATAGTTAGAAACATCGATCAGCTGCCTCCTGCACACCCCCTACTGGGGATGTGCCCGCAACCAAGGTACATGCCCTTGACTGGAATCGAACCTGGGACCCTTCCGTCCACAGGCCGACGCTCTATCCACTGAGCCAAACAGGTTAGGGCAACAGCCATGTTTTGAAAACACTGAATGTTTTTTAAACATACCTTTTTATGCAGTAAGTATGGCAATAGCATCCTGAAAACACACCTTAGAATGAGGTGAACTCAATAAAAATTGCCAAGCCTCTCATGGCCAAAAAAAAAAAAAAAAAGATTCATCCTATCCCAAATACCAATACCATTCCTGTTAGGAAACATTGGCTTAGCCCAGCCATAATTCATCCCCTGGGCTGAAGATATTATGACTCAAACACAATCATGGGACCATCAGCAAGAACAGCGTGGCTCCAGGAGCCTGTGCCATGGACCCTGGTGGAAGTTGGAAGGAGAACGGCGATGCTGTCATGCTGGCACGTGGAATCCTTTTCAGAAAGTGGTGTTATTTGCATGGAATGGGTGACAAGGAAAAAAACTACAGAAGTCAAGACTGTCTGCAAGGGCTGACTTTATTTTTTCTAATGGAGGGATTTCCCAGTACTTGCACAAGCTTGTTTCCAAGAAGTGACTCTGAGTTCTCCATCACTCTATTATCTCTGCTCCCTGCCCCCACCATGGATTCAGAATGATTAGAACCCAACTGTATAGCCACATTGTTGTTATTTTTTTTGGGGGGGTGGGGGGGGGAATCTTTGTAGATCCTGTACTTAGTACAATGTGGCAGGTATTCAGTAAATGTTTCTTGGGTATATGACAAATACACTAACTCAAAACAATACAAGAAAACATAGCCTGGAAAATTGTTCAGCATTATGTTTAAGGATATAGGTGCAACGAAATATAATTTTAAAAATAGTAGTAGCTTGGCCGGGGTGGCTCAGTGGTTGAGTGTCGACCCATGAACCAGGAGGGCACCAGTTCAATTCCCAGTCAGGGCAAATGCCCAGGTTGCAGGCTTGACCCCCAGTAGTGGGTGTGCAGGAGGCAGCCAATCAATGATTCTCTCTCAAAATTGATGTTTCTATCTCTCCCTCCCATCTCCTTTCCTCTCTCTGAAATCAATAAAGACATTTTTTTTAAAAGTAGTAAAAATTGTGATAGAAATATAAGTATATTATTTTAAAAATACATTTTTTAAGAGTGCCAGTGGAGCTCTTTGTGGGGACTGAAGGGTCTCAGGTTCTGGTAAAGGGCGTGTACCTTGGTTGCAGACTCTATCCCCAGCCCTGGTCAGGGCACGTGTGAAGCAACCAATCCATGTGTCCCTCTCACATTGAGGGCTATGCTGGGCCTAACGCAGGTGTTGACAGTTTCATAAAGTTTTTTTTTTTGGGGGGGGGGTAATAGTTAATTTTACTAGTAATTTTAGATTTGCACTACTACTCTTTCTCCTGTACTTTCTGCAAATTGGAGGTTGTCTATTGCAGATTCTAAATTTGACCACCAGATGGCTCCACTACGCAAGCGTGCTCTCTGGAATTAGATCAATTCCCTGTGTAGCGGTGTTTTGGCGCCACATGAATACTGCCATTTCTCAGCAATCTGTCATCTAAAGGCTTTTAAATCCATGGATAATTCTTGCTTAAATTAATTATTTCTTTAAGATTTGTGCAACAGTCATGTTCTAACTACATATTTAGTCTACATTTATTTGCTAGCACCGTATTGTAAAGGCAGGGCAAATACTGTATTTCCCTTTAACAATGTTCAGAGCGAAAAGTTGGTGTAGTAGTCATTTTCAATTATATAAAAATAGTCTCCTTCCCCCCCTCCTCTCATCAGGTATAACTATAGAGTATAGATTTTTTATCTATTCCATTTAGTTATTTGCTACAATTGCCCTAAATTTGGCCTCTGGGAGATCTTTCAAGCTGGCTTGTCTTTTTAAAACTTACTTTTAAAAACCAAATATACAAATGGGCATGGCCAGACCATATATAAAAATAGAATTTTGACTCACAACCTGCAGCAAAGTGCCTAGGAAACCAGCCCCCTTACCTCCAGTAACTAGCCCAGGAAGCCAGCCTGCTATACATCAGACTTGGAGGAAGTCAGTCTATCTCTATAAGAATCCAGAAAGCTAAACAAATCCTCTAAAACAGTGGTTCTCAATCTTCCTAATGCCAAGACCCTTTAATATAGTTCCTCATGTTGTGGTGACCCCCAATGTCATTGTTACAAATTGAACATAATTAAAGCATAGTGATTAATCACAAAAACAATATGTAATTATATATGTGTTTTCCGATGGTCTTAGGCGACCCCTGTGAAAGGGTCGTTCGACCCCCAAAGGGGTCGCGACCCACAGGTTGAGAACCGCTGCTCTACAATAATCAGCTCAAATGACCAGGACCTGATTACAAACTGACAGCTTCCCCAATTTTTGTCCCCCCTTGCAACTGAGAACCAACGGAAGAAAGCCAATCAGACGCCCTAACTGACCACAGGGAGGCCCACCGCTGACCAGCTGCCTCCAGCTCCCCTGCCCACAGCCCCTCAGGGCACACCTGGGCCGGGCCTCTCCTCCTCTAAGCGCTCCCTCTCCTGCCTGCCTTGGAGTCTCTGCCAAACACGCGTGATGGCGGCTGACCCTCTTGCGGCAGCAGGTTCTGGGTAAGTAGCCTCTGCTTGTCCTTTATTGGTTGGTCTTTGTTTCCACACTTTACTGAAGTATAATTTAAAGTTTAATTTGAAGTATAAGTAAATCCAAGATGCTCTGGATTTATTTAGTGGGAAATGGAATTTAGAAACCGTGATCTGATTGGCAAGGGTGTTCATTATTACTGTAGGTGACCAACCAACATGGTTTGCCTGGGAGAGTTCTAGTATTAACACTGAAAGTCCAACATCCAGGGAAATCCCCAGTCCCTGGCAAACTGGAACAACTGGTCAACCTACTGCTCCGAGGTCCTTTCAGTGCAAAGAACTAGGAAATTTATTTTAAAAATTATGTGCTCGAAATGATATTTCCAATTTAAACATATTACAGCTTTTTCCCTGAACTTCCTTGATCTTACATTTGTATCTCATTTTCTCTTACACTGAAAGTCTTGTATGTTATAACATTAAAACATTTGTGTACCCTACAATATAGTTTCAAAACCATAGCAACAATATTACCATTTTGTTGTTGTTGAAATGTTTTTATTTATTTTAGAGAGGAAAGGAGAGATGGAAACATCAACTGGCTGCCTCTTGCATGCCCCATACTGGGGATCAAGCCTGCAACCCAGGCACGTGCCCTGACTGGGAATTGAACCGGTGACGTCTTGGTGCCTGGGTCGACGCTCAACCACTGAGCCACACCAGCCAGGCCTTATTACCATTATTATAAACCACGGAGTGAAGCTGACGATTCCTTTGCAGTTCTTTTTTCATCCTTAGGTTATATACTCTCTGAGCACTATGTTACAAATATCTGCGGAAGCCCTGGCTGGGTAGCTCAGTTGGTTGGAGCATCCACCCAGACACCAAAAAGGGTGTAAATTTGATTTGGTCAGAGCACATACCTAGGTTGCAAGTTCAATCCCTGGTCGGGGTGCATATGGGAGGCAATAGATTGATGTCTCTCTCTCTCAAGTAAGAACATATCCTTGGGTGAGGATAAAAAAATAAAAATACCTGGGGAATAATTCTTTTCTCTGTTTAATGACATAGTTACCAATTTGGCCCAGAGTTAAGTCCACTGATTTCAATTTGCTTTCCACTTTGGGTTGACTTGCTTTTGTCAGTTACTCTTTGGCTATGTAAACACTTTAGTTTAGAGACGGGTAAGTCTTGTTTCTGTTCCTCTCCACCCCCGCTACCCCCGCCTTCCCCGCCTCCCTGCAGGTAACCATTTTCGTTGTTCCTAGGATGTCCTTCCAGTTTTACCTGGGGCTCATTCCCAAGCAACAAAACACTGTCGTCCTGATAATGTGCACTCCGCTGCCAGGGAGCACGCACAGCCTTTTACTAATAAGTTTAGGGACCATTGCTATGCTTTCCTGTGTGACGTCTGTTCCTGTTCTTGCCCATTTTTCTTTTTCTTTTTAAATGTTTTTTATTGATTTTTTACAGAGAGGAAGGGAGAGGGATAGAGTTAGAAACATCGATGAGAGAGAAACATCGATCAGCTGCCTCTTGCACACCCCCTACTGGGGATGTGCCCGCAACCAAGGTACATGCCCTTGACCGGAATCGAACCTGGGACCTTTCAGTCCGCAGGCCGACGCTCTATCCACTGAGCCAAACCGGTCAGGGCTCTTGCCCATTTTTCTCTTTGGGTTTTGGTCCTTTTCAGTTTTGAAGAGTTCTGGCATGTAAGTTGCACATATTTCCTCCATGCGGATCTGACTTACCGGGGACACCCATGACCCCTTTGCCCATCTGGAGCTTCCTTTCATCTTATCCCCGTAAGCCACCTCATCCCAGGGCACCTGGGGATTATAGTTTGGGTAAAGCCGGGTAAGAGCCGGGTCAGAGGGAGGACCCGAGCCCCGTGGTGAGCGTCAGGGCTGCTCCTCCTCCCCCGGGAGACGCCGCCGCCCGTAGGCAGTGGGCGGCAGGCACGCAGTCCCGCGTGAGGGAATTGCAGAACCGCTTTCATGGGTTCACGGAAGCCACCAGGGCGCCTCCCTCTCGCTGCTGGGCCAGCAAGGTGCCCCGAGAGCTGCCGACCCAGGCACCACCTCCACCTGCTCAGAGCGCCTCCGCTGCGCCTCGCCATGCCGAGTCAGGATGAACCGAGCGGCCAGGAGGCTGCACTTCTCGCCGGAAGACAAAGCGTCGGTTCCCAGCTCTCCGAGCGGCACCCGGGAGGCTAAGGGCCGCCTACACCG